CAAAAATGAAATTCAGGGACCCGGCTGGCAGTATCCTGGCTTCCACCTCTCTGGAGTCTGAGAGAAGGACTGGAGCATAAAGGAGGTCACAGGTGGCTTTGAGACTCAGCTCTGGAAGAATTTTCTTGGCCTATTTTCTGTGTCGTTGCTTTTTTATTCAGCTTTTTTTGCCTTCCGTTTCCTCGTGCCTTCGTTCAGCTCCTCTTTGGACTTGGCAGGAGGAGGAGGAGGGTGGGAAATCTCGTGGGAGGCCCCGTGGTGGTCGTGGTGGTGGCTTGGGTGCCCACTGGAAACAGAGCCAAAGAGGACGGGGCAGATGAGGTTTTCCAGCGGAGCAAAAGGTGAGGCGTGGGAGTGAGTGGCCGTCATGAAAACCTGCCAGGCAACAGGGAACACTTAGAGATCACACAGAGCAATGAAATACTGACCACTGAGCATTCCACTGACCCCAGATAAAGTCCCTGCTGCTACATGACTCGAGGCACAAGGAGCTGCTTGTGTGATGGAGAATTCAGCATTCAATTTCCCCAGCAGTGAATCCTGCAGTGGCTCAGGAAGGTGAATATTCCCAGTTTAAACTCTGTAATTTGCTGGCAACAAAGCTGCTGTAAACTTACCTTGCAGACTATCATGAACATGGTGAAAAAGAAGATGAGGTTGGCTTCAGAGATAGGGAGCCAGTGAGTCTCCTGCAGAGTGAAGAGGACTGTGCCATACAGACTGGCCTTTGTAGGGCTGGAAGAGAAAGAAAGAGGTTTTCTGGAAGGTTTGCACCCAGCCCCGACTGGTTCCTTCTTTCCATTCTTCATCTGACTGGGAATTTCCAGGCTGCTGACTTACAAGGACATATGAAGAATTTCATTTGTTTCAGGCTTCCAGACCCCACGCAGCAGCTGCTCAAAGTTCGACATCAAGGCCACACCAGAACCTGTGAGACAGAGAAACCTGTCAAAGAGCTGAAGCTACCACAGCAGAGGGCTCTGGATCTTCAAGGGGACAAAGGGTTCTTGACATTCTCCCCAAATTTAAAAGATAGCCTAAGCCAACAGAGCAGGGCAAATGCTTCCTTGACTTTCTACCAAGTGGATCCTGATGCAGGGAAAAGGCATTTGCCTCTTGCAGGTATTGCTGCTCAAGTGCTTGCTCCAAACACACCCTTAAAGGAAAACTGACTGGCAGAACCCCGTGAAAGACACAGGTGAGGTCACAGATCACGGGAGAAAGAACAAAGAACTCCTGACTCCAGCTCTTCAACCATTCTGCGAGACTGCACAAACACCTGCATGGTGGGAACGCAGCCCCAGCCCACATCCCCTCCCTGCTGCTCCCCCTGAGCTGCCCCCACGCTGTCCCAGCCCTTCCTGCAGCCTCTGGAGCATCTCAGGTGTCACCTTTGACCCATCCCGTGGCCATCATCACGAACCACCCGTGGTGGTACTGGTGGTGGGCGTGGTGCACCCCAGCCGCGATCTTGCGCACCCGGACCACCTCCTTCATGGCCACGAAGATGAGCTTCACGGGCAGGAAGCTGACACACTTGTAGAAGAGGTTCATGGGGCAGAAGAATATCAGGTACCTGCAAAAAGACCAGTGATTTGTTCTGATCTGGGATATGCAGAGAAGGGTAGGGTGGTGGCAGATTTGAGTTATGGCAGGTGGGAGTGAAAGAGAAGAAAAATATTAAAAAAAATATTCCTAATTTCATAGCTAATTCTAAAGGGAAACCAGCATGCAACAGCCCAGAGAGCCCTCAGTAACTCAGAGCCCTCACTACTAATACTCCAACTTGAATAAAACACGGTAATTTTAATTCAGAACATTTTAGAAGTTTGTGTCTTGTATGGTCCAGAAGCATCAGCTCATACAGAACAAGAAGCTACATATACTGAAATGATACTCAGACAGAGGACAGATTTCAAATACTCTTTTTTTCCAGAAGACTGCTAAATTTTTCAGCCCTAAAAGAAGATCTTTCTCTTTATTTTCTCAAGTATAGAAAACTAGATAGCTGAGGGATTTACTCCAAGACTTCTGTTTATGAAAATTTCATTCACAGTGTGTTTCCCAACACTGCTCTTTCTGCCACGTAAAAGCACCTACAACCCATACACAGTGGGGAAGTTAAAGGTTAATTTGTGCACATTCCACCAACACAACGAATAAAATGCCCCCAAATCTTCAGGATGTGCCACTCCTCACTCCGTGGGATCCGCGGGTGCTGCTGCTCCTGCGGTTTGGCGCGGGCTCAGCGGTGGCTGCTATGAATAGAAGTGCCCCAGCCCAGATAATCACAGCATTAGGCAACTGGTCAGGGAAACTGGGAACCAGAGCCAGGAGTGCAAGAGCCTCAAAGACTGCCTCAGCCCACCTCTGCTCCCCCCAGTTTATCCCTGTGAGATCAGAGCTGTGTCCCACAGGGAGAACACCTCCCTCCACACCTCCCTCCCCGGCGGAGCGCTGGGAGCAGCTCGTGCCACATCAGGAGGGGTGCAGGGCACTCACCACACTGCTGTGGCCAGGATGACACTGGAGTTGTGGCTGAAGTAGCCAATGGGTGCCTCTCCCAGCAGCAGATCAGCGAGGATGTAGCTCCCAAAGCAGTGGAGCATAGCACAGAGCCAGGAGGCAAAAGGGCTCTTCCGGGACATCTCCACGGCTCCTGTGAAAAAATTTGGGAATCACGGAGTCACCAATGTTGGAGGGACCCTCAAGGCCATCTAGTCCAGCCTCAGTGAGAAGATGGATCTAGCGATTAAGCAGGAACTTCAACACCCAGTAAGAGAGAGGCTCGAGATGCGTGTTCTCCCACAAAGCAGCTCAAAGAAAAGTGCTTGTAAAACAAAATACCAAAGTGTGAAACCCAAACAAGTACCAGAGATAGTCAAGAAATGATCACAGCCTGCAGACCCCCCCGAAGGTCTCAGGTGAACAGAGTCATTAGAAGTTTATGAACTGGCTGAGAGATTCTCTCCTTTATTTGCTACTAGCAGAAAGAACACTTTTTTTCCCTTGAAATCAATGTGGTTTTACAGTCTAAAAATAAAATGCATACTAGTACCATTCTCTCCACTGCTTCAACCTAGGTGCCCTCTAGAATTCATGAACAATCTGTTCAGCTCTTTCATTCATAAGATAACCTGCAAAAATAGAACAGGAATTCTTAATCTTTGAGAGAAGAGGATTTGAGGGTTCTTCCCCACTCCTGTACTAGTCTGGAAATACTTTGTGGTCTCCTCCCACAATCTGCTATGGCCTTTTTTTAAATTCCTGTAGCAATTTTCATCCACCTTTGTACCTTTTCAGGGAAAACTCCCAACAACATCAATTCTGTGAGGTTGTTTCATCACCTTAAACTGCTCCAGAATCCTTTGTGCGGCATTTCAGACACAAAACTGTTCGGTGAGCATATAAAGAGAGAAAATGCTACAAATGTTATGTCAACATGATTACCTGGTACACATTAAACAGCAGGAAGTGGATGAGCATGAGCCAAAGCTGTGAGTGCCCAGGCTCTTCCATCCTCTGGGACATTTGAACCAGCTGAAAACACAGCGGCAGCGAGACAGCTGCAACAGCCGAGACACGAAACTGGTTCTATAGGAACCTGAGGTTTAGCTTGAGGCTTAAATTTAGTAACACTTGTTTTTCCTTGGCTCTACGAAGCCACGCTGTCTCCAAGGAGGAAACAGGACGGTTCTGTCCTGATACTGATCCTCAGCCCAGGAGCTGTGGGATGGGAGCACTGTAGGAATCTGGGGAAGAGTACACCCCAGCCTTATCCAGTCCCAAGCGCATTCCTGGGCTTGCATATATTTAAAAGCTATTTCTGTGAGGGCTGCCTGTTATTTGTTCGGTTCAGGACTCCATGCTGGAAGGCAGCTGGGAGTGATCAGGCCTGGAAAGCCCAGCACTTGTTTACAGGGAGTTTAACGGGAACAGCATGTGGATTGTACGGCTCGGAGGTCGCACAACCTGAGGTTTGAAAATCATTCCCGAGCTCGGGGTTGGTTTTCCCTTCAGCCACCGTGCAGTTACAGTGAAACGGCTCAAAACAGAGCATGAAGTGCACACGTTGTCAAAAACAGAGGGAAAGTGGCGTTTGAAAAAGACGGAGGCACAGCCAGGCTGTGACAAGGCAGAAGGTGAAAGGCAAGGCGCAGATCTATCGATCCATGCAAGATAAACCCAAGAGAACAAACAAAGCAAGGTCAGTTATTGTGCCTGAGAACAGCTCAGGGTATGGTCCAGAGGGTGGGAAAAACCCTAGATTTTACTTCCAGCTCTTTTGTATATAAATAGGAGGAAGGTACCGCCACAAAAATATTCAAGCCAAGGGACCGGCCAGAAACACAACTCTTAGTCCTGGGGTGGCAGCCAAGTGACCGAACTTAAATACCTCAATGCGGCCGGAATCCAGTCTTAAATAAAATCCAAGATTATTTCTCAAAATCAGAGCCACGGGTTCGTGGGGGTTTTTCCTGCTTTCTACATGCAGACGGAGGTGTCGGAGCTGTGGCATCGCCTGTGGCAGGCGGCAGAGAGGGACGGGCGGGTGGCTGAACCTGTTGGTGCGGGGCAGCGCGGGGTCTGTGCCGGCACAGCGGTACCGGAGCTCCCCCCGGGGCCCCCCCGGGCCAAGGGCCGCACTCACCGGGCTCGTACTTGAGGTAGAGGACGGAGATGATGAAATAGGCGGTGTCGAACAGCGGGAACACCGGCAGCGCGGCGAAGGCGGCCGCCAGCTCCCCGAGGGGCAGCGCCTCCGCCAGATCCATCGCGGCCCCGGATCGCGGTTCTCAGCTCCCGGTTCTCGATTCCCGAGCCGGCTCCGCAGGCCCGTGCTGGGGCTGTGGGAGCTGCGCCCGGCGCTGCCCGGGCCCGACCCCTCGCTCCGCTCCCCGCGGGTGTCCGGGCGCGGAGCCGCCGGCGCCGGAGCCGCCGCGGGCAGCGCAGGCGCCGCCGACCCGGGCAGCGCCCGCCCCTTCCGCTTCCTCCCGGCCCCGGAGCCGCCGCCGGAGCCATGATCGGGGATCTGCTGCTCTGCGGGTACTGGGGCCGGGAACCGGCAGCGGCTCGGCCGGGTTAGCCCGACCCGGCTGTGCCTGACCCTGTTCTCGTCCCCCTTCTCGGCCTCTTCCTCCCTTCCCCATCCCCTCTCGACCCCCTTGCCCTTCTCCATCCCCCTTCTCCCTCACCGGCCTCACTCCCCTTCTCGTCTCGCTTTTTCCGTCCTTTCCCTTTCTTCGTCCTCCTGTCCTTTTCCCCTTCCCCGACCTCTTTCACCGTCCCCGACACTTTCCCCCCTCTCCATCCCCGTTCCCCGTCCCCATTTCCCCGTCTCTCCCGCAGGACGCTGCTGGTGAACGCCGGTGCCGTGCTCAACTTCAGGCTGTGAGCGAACGGGGAGGGCGGGCGGGGGAACGGGGAGGGTTTTTTGGGTTTCACCTGCCTGACACGGCCCCTCTGCCCCGCAGGAGGAGGAGGGACACGGAGGGATTCGGAGAGGAGCCGAGGGAACCCACGACCGGTAACGGAGGGGATGCGGGAGCCGGGCACAGCCCTGCCCTGGGCCGCCAGGACTCGCACAGGACCGGGCTTTTCTGGAGGAAATCCTGGGCCAAAGCACAGTTTTTCCGCCCCTTTTCATTTGATGTGAATTGCTGTGGGGCTGGAATAACTGGCTTATTAACTTGTAAACTGGAATGTTCTGAAATGAGAAGAAACGCACAAAAAGCACATTTCTTGCAGCATTTTTGACTGTGGTACCTGTGCTATAGAGGTAACACTCTGCTCACTCCCTGATTGCCTTTTCCACGTGGATACATCTGTGTTGCTCCCTTGTAGCTCTGTTTGCTAGTTTAAAACCCCAGGAAGCCTTTGAACTACAACTGGTCTTCCCTTTTTTTGCAGTGTGACCCCTTTTTATAATTTTTTGGTCATTTTGCCACGTATCCTTACGAAGTTGCACTGAACAGAGCATCCATCCTTCACCTAAAACCTCAAATTTCAGTCTGAACTTTTTGTTGTGTTTTTTTTTCCTCTCAAAGTTGCTTGTTTTTTTCAGGGAGTGCTGAAAATGTGATTGTTGGGTGTGTTTTTCATATCCAAAAGCTTCTCCTCTTGATTTCTAGGTGACAATATCAGAGAGTTTTTGCTGAGTCTCAGGTATTTTCGTATCTTCATTGCCTTGTGGAATATCTTCATGATGTTCTGCATGATTGTGTGAGTAACCCTGTGCAGCACCTTCTCACTTGGTTATAGAAAGTCATATATTGGCACTTTTCTTGCACATATATCTCTGTTTGCATCTGTCTCTCCCACTCGATTTTTCCATAATTCTTTTTTACTTCACTCCTTTATTTCAGTTTTCAAATATGGGTTGAGTTCAGTTTTTTGCTAATGTGGGCACCTGTAGTGCATGAAAACCACCTGTGCCAGCACCTGAGTCATTCAGCCTCCAGCAGAGTGTTGCTTATTGGGGGTTGCTCAAGTCAAACATCACCTGGGTTTAAATTTGGGGATGTTTTTCATTTTGGGGTGGAAACCCACCAAGTTATTCAGATGAAATCAGCTGTGCACTGCTGTGGTTGTGACTGTTTCTCATCTACTTCTTTTTTTTTTTCTGTTGCATCCCCCAGGTTATTTGGATCTTGAAAGCCACCCATGGACATGTTGGAAGAGACTTTTGGCGGGGAACAAACTTTTCTAGAAATAAAAATTCTGATGCTCTCCAGCTGCAGGCCCAGGCCTGTGGGGAGCCTGGGACATGCTCACCCCCCTCCAGGTTCTTTCTCTGCCAGGGCTTGGAGCTACAACCTTCACACAAATTATCTCAGCTTCACTGAAAGAGAATTCTAACTTGGTTTTCTAAGCTCAGAGTGGGGAGCAGGGGAGAATTGGAGCCAGTTTTAAACCTCTGCCTTGGCAGTCCCAACTGGGGCTGTGCCAGGTCGTGTTACCCCTGTCCAAGGCACACTCCTTAGTTCTCAGTTTTGTGTAGATGTTGAGCATTGTTCTTGTAACTTCTCACTATTCCATTACTTTGTTGGAGGTGTAGAAAAGGAATATTCAAGGAAAAAAAAAAAAAGCTCCTTGTTTTTCCAGAAAAATGTTTTTTTAAATTAATACTTCAAAGTTTTTTTTTTTTCTAAGCAATATGTAAGGGATTTTGAATGGGAAAAAAATGGCAAAAATAATTCTCTAAGCCAATGTTAAGAGATAATTTTGGAATAATCTTGGATTTGGTTGAATAAAATTATTCTGTTTAAGGGTAAAATATATATTTGATGCCCTGTTCATTCTGTTATGGGAGAAATTGATTCTGTATTGGTGTATTTTGGGAAATTGTAGCCAGTCCTGTAATCTGTCTGGAGTCTTGTGTTATTTATATTAAGTTGGCCTCTGACCAACAGCTTTTCCCCAGAATCACCAAGATAATTTAACAGAGTGCAGTGCTGAGTATCTTTTAAATCAAACTGTAAACTGTTAGTGGGTTTCCACAGCTTCAGTTTCTTTAGCTGTTTAGGAGAAAGAGACCCGATTTAAATGATTCCCTGGCACGAGTTTTAGGGAGTATTTTGAATTTTATCTGGCGAGATGCAGATCTGCAGAGACTGCTGCCCTGAGTTGGGCACCTGCAGCATTTTACTTGAGTCATGCTCTTGGTTGAACTGAAGTTTTCACATTAATGAAACATGACAGGGGAAGGGTCATTTGAGGGAGGATGCCTGGCTGTAATAAACCCAGAAAAATATACAGACAGGCTCCTTCAAATGTGGTTTGAGCCATCCAGAAATATGTACAACCTTTGGTTAAATTTAAACATATTCCTTGTCTGTAATTTCACTATTTTTTAACCCTTTCCTGATTCTTTAGAATGAGGGAGAGAAAAAAAGTGTGTTGCCAAATACAATACAGGGGTTGGCTCAATATGATTCTTGGAAAACATTTAGTGCCTAATCTTCATTAAACCAAATGTGAAGGGAAGGGTGGATGTGGCATCACTCTGCGTGTGTGACCTGCTGCACACCACTGGGCTCAGGCCTGAGCTTTGAGCTTGGGGGGTTTTTTATTTTTCCTTGGAAAAATGACCCTGTGCAGAGCTGGCAGTGCTTTATGATCACAGGGAACACAGAAGGGAGCTCCACTGCTAAAGGAATTCAAATAGTTTTATCACCCTGCACACACCGTGTGTCTCCAGACCGTGCTGTCCCCACGAGACTCCAGTTGTGCAAAAGTTGTGATTCAGCTTCGAAGCAGCTGCTTTAAAATAACGACACCACAAGTCAATTTTGAGCTGCTTTTAAAAGCTGTGAGAAGTTTGAAGTGCCGCGCTGATGCTTCGCTGAGGGGACCAGAACACCCCTCACACCTCACGGCCCGAGTGGTGCCCGCAGGAGGTTTATTCCCGTTACTCATTTCCATTATTTATTCCCCCCCCGCAGGATGCTCGGTTCTTCCGGGGCCGGGCGGGGGTCCCGGAGTGGCCACCCGGCTCCTGCTGCCCCCACTCCGCCGCCATCGCCCCGCTCCCCTCCCTGCTCCCCGTGCCCCACTCTCCCCCTCACGGCTACTCCCCGCAGCGCCCTGTCCTCCAACTTCCTCCCGCTGTCCCCCAGCACGGCCCCTGTCCCCTCAGCGGCTCGTTTGCTGTCCCCATGTCCCCCAGCACGGCCCCTGTCCCCTCAGCGGCTCGTTTGCTGTCCCCATGTCCCCCAGCACGGCCCCTGTCCCCTCAGCGGCCCGTTTGCTGTCCCCATGTTCCCCAGCACGGTCCCCGTCTCCCCCTCTCCCCGGGTCCCCCTTTTCCCCCTCACGGCGCCCCAGCCCCGCCCCGCCCCCCCCACCGCGCACGCGCGTTCCCGCCGCCGCCCGCCCTCCCCCGCGCACGCGCGGTGCGCGCCCCCGGCGGTGCGGGCGGGCGGGGGCCGGGGCGCGGCGCGCGCACGTCACGGCGTCGGGCGCGTCCCAGGGAGCCGCGCGCGGCGCCGGCCCTGCCCCCAGCGCGCCCCGCGTTCGGCCCGAGCGGAGCGGAGCGGAGCGCTGGGCTCGCCCGCTCCCCCCGGCCCCCCGCGCCGCCCCCGCCCCGCGGGGAGCGAACATGCTCCTCCGGCTCCCCGAGGCCGCCGCCGCCGGCGAGTGAGGAGCCGCCGCCGCCGCCGCCCCGGCCCGGCCCGGCCCCGCCGCCCGCCCGCCCCGGCCGCAGCCGCAGCCGCCCCGCTTCGCCCAGGCAATGACAGCGGCTCCGGCCCCGTCCCCGCAGCAGATCAGGGACCGGCTGCTGCAGGCCATCGACCCGCAGAGCAACGTGAGTACGGGCCCCGCGGGCCCCCGCCGCTCCGGGCCGACCCCCGCCCGGCGCTCTCGCCGCGACGCCTTTCTCCCCCCCCCCGGGCCTCCGGGGCTCCCGCCGGGGCCGCCCCTGGTGCACCGGAGCCTCCGCTGCGGGCGGTAGCGCGGAGCTCCCGGCGCGCCGTCCGCCCGGGGTCCCGCAGCCGGCGGCGCCTCTCGCCCGCGCCCCCCGGGCCGGGAGCGCAGGGCCGCCCCGCTGGGGGCTCCGGAGGCCGCTCCCCGCCCGCCCAGGGCCGCGGCCTCCCCCGCCCCGCCGCCGCTCGGCGCCCCGGGCCCGGCCGGTGCTGCCCGGCCATGCGGCGGGCGGCCCGGCCGCCTCCCCACGCCAGGCCGCGGCTCGGGCGCGGCCTGCAGGGGGCTCTGGGCCGGCCCCGCCGCCGCTCTCCGGGACCTTCCGGGGCGCCCACCTGTTCCTCGGGCCCGGCGGCCGCTCCGGCCGCGGCCGGGGGTCCCCGCGCTGCGGGGACGCCAGGAGGGCTCCGGCGGTGGCTGCGAGGCTCTGGAGCTGCTCCAGCACCGAGCAGCTTCGGTCTTCGCTTTTATCCCTTCCTGCAGTGCCGTAATGAGCTTATCTGCTCCTTCTGGGATGTGGTGTAAGCACAGAAGTCAGCGTGTATTTTACCTGTAAGTGGCCTTAAGTGGCGGTTATCCAAAGGATCATTTACTCATTTAAGGGTTTTTTGCCTCATCCAAGCAGTTCTCCGCTTAGGTGTTTATTACCGTGAGAGTACTGCAGGGCCCTCAATCTGTCCAATTTTTGGGTTTTAGATCAACAGTCACCACCACAGGATGCCAAGGTTGGTCTGTCTTGGCCATCTGCAGTTTGTTGGGGAAGCCTCTGGGGCATCAGGCTGAGTGTGTACGTGTTATTCCAGGGGCTGGGGTGTGTGAAATGGTGCTTTGGGTGCTTTGGTTCTATTAAAGTCATACCTGCTCCTGTCTGAACAAGTGCTTTTTTGTGGTAGATGTGTATCAAAGTCCTAAAGTAGCTAATAAAGTTATTGTCGTTTGGAACCCCTCCTGGAGCGGCCTGCATGTGACATGGGGACTGAAGAAAAATCACCCTGACCTTGTAGGTTCTGTAGAACCCCCTGGGCTGGGCATCTTTGGTGAGCTGCAGTGTTACACGTTGGAGTAACAGTAACAAATCGTGGTGGTAATTGTGGGCTGTTAAATGTCAGCGTTGTCTGAGTTTGCAGTACTTTAATGTGGATCTTGCTGAAATGTCAGTTAGTGCACTTCATCAATCCTGTTTGCTCTGAGCTCTCTTTCTGTGGCTGCAGATTTTTCACTCTATGTGAGACTGAGTGCCAACCTACTTTAATAAAATTCTAGCATATCCATGGTGTCTTTTGACTTCAGAACTGTCAGCTGCAGTGGTTACCCTAATTCTGGTGTTACTTTGTCAGACGCTGTGGCTGTGCAGAACTAAGCAGCCAGCAGTCAGTTTTGTGATGGATACTCTTCCCTTTCTCCACACGCTGATGTTACACCATCCTGTTGTGAAAGGACCCAAAATAACCAGCTCCCTGCAAGGGGAGGCCAGAGCTCCCAATAGGTCAGTAGCCCCTTAAGTTTAGGAGTAATGTATGTTAAATTATAATTCTACATACTTGATACTTATCCAGGGCAATAATTGGTGGCAGAAAAATCAGCCCATTGTTCTGAAGTGCCTGTAGGCAGGGTCTGTCTTCCAGTTTAACCTTTTCTTGAAGGAGAGCAGAGGTGGTGTAGCTGAGGTTCATTGTGCAGGCTGAGAGCTCAGATCTTGGCTCCAAAGCACATGGAATATGTGGTGTTGTTGATTGTTCACTACCTGGCACGTCACTGGCACAGAGAGAATAAAAACTTACATTTTGAACCTGCTTAAAAGCAGATTCTGAGTTGAATCACACTTGGGCAGCAGCGTGGAAGTACAAGAAGTGGCTCTGCTGTTTTCCTGCTGGGACAGTCAGTGCAGCCATGAGCTGCTGTGCCTGCAGGGACTCATGGAAAGCTCCAGCCCACTTTCTGCTGGCTCTTAGAATCTTCTCCTGACAGAATTAGTTGTGTTCAAACCTACAAGCATTCATTGTTGTCACTGACTTCTTCATTTACTAAGTCAAGCTTTGAGGCCTTGATTTAATTCAAGCTTTTCAGTATAGTTGTTGTGTGTGTTTCTGGAGAGGGTGAAAGCTGCACCAGTAGTGTCAGTGGGCAAAACCAGTCCAGCCTATGGAGCTGAGGAAAGAGGAGGTGGTTGGTTCTTCATGATGCTTTACTGTCGAGGAAATTTAAATTTAAGCATCACTTAAATTCCCTAATACATTCCCTAACATGAGCTGCTACTGTGGATATTCATTCCTGAGTGGTTAGTTGGATCTTGGTCAACTCACAGGTCATGTCTTAAATGAAAAAAAAATAGGACATAAGTTTCTCTACCTCTGTTGGGTCGAACTGGTCAAAATAATCATTTCCCCAAGCTTGCAGAACCTGCTGGCCTCAGGAAATCATCTCTTGGGCTGATTGTTCATCTCCAGCTGCTCCATAAAGCCCTGCTGACTCGGGAGCAATATTGAATTTACACATGTTTAGCACTTGAACCTCCTCTAGTAATTGCTGCAGAATATATTTATAACTTAGTTTCCCACACTTAGAGGTTACCCGTGTAAATTCTGAACTATTTCAAAGGACACCTATAAGAAATAAGCTATTTTTAAAAGAACTTACATCATCCTAGAAGCCACCCGGGATGTCTGGTATTGTGTCTTCATTTGTTCAGCCTTTTCTCCTCGAGGAAACATATGGGCAAACCACTTCTGCTCCATGACCTAAGCACTGAGTACCAGCATCACTTTCCTTCCAAGGCTTCTGTGAGAACATAGCAGGAGGTGGAGGGGAGCAGGAGTTCTGTTCTGTGAGGTCTGACAAGGGAGATGTTCCTTGATTCTGGTGGGAACAAGGCTTTTGCCTTTGGACTCTGTGTGCTAAAAAGCCACCCCTTCCACCCAACAGAATACCTTTGCCTTGGTAACTCATGCTCTGTGCTCCTGGGGGAGTTTATTCCCTGGTGTCAAGAGTAATGAGAAATGTTGGTTTTTACTCTGTGGATGAGCCTGTCATTTCCAACCAGCTGCTAGAATTGTACTTGCAATTAAATGGTTCCTCATGCTGAATATGTAGCAATCTGTTCCTGTTTTTAAATATTAGATAATAACTTCATTATTTGCCATTAGTACCCCTCTGTGACACAAACCCAGCTTTGGTTTGAGTAACAGCCTGTATTGCTGCACAGACCTTCAGGAGTGGTCCATGGCCTGAATTATTAATAATTAATTGGCCTGTGTGTTGGAATATATTAGGTGATGCATTGGCATGGGCTGATCTCCCAGATGGCAAAAGTTGTGTGATTGCTTCCGTGGCTGTTTTCTCCAAGGTGCTGGAGACAAAACCCCCCTCACCAGTGGTAAAGGTGCTTTCCAGTTGTGCCTTAAGAAGGGGCAGGGCACTGCTGTAATAATATAAATGTAGAAAGCAGGGGAAGCTGCTGGTTCACTTCCTGAGGGTCTCAGCGATTTCTTTGGATGCAGGAAGTGTTACGTGTGGGCGAAAGTAGACTAGGAATGGCTCTTGCTTGAGCTTTATCCTTTTCTGCAAGCCCTAATGAGCTTAGCAGTTTTGAGGGAGGTGCAGAGAACCTGTTGTACCTCTTGCCCTCTTTGTCCCTTTCCTCACTTGCAGCTCATCTTGTTTTGAGCAGTCTCACATTTTGTGTGTAAAGGCAGCAGGTTGTCTCAGGTGTGTGACAAAATGTGGGGGGTCGGGGAGCATTTCCTGATGTGCAAGGGCTAAAGTGTTGTTATCATGTCAGTCCTGAGTTCCAGATAAAGATTTGGGCCTGATGTAGAGAGTCCCATTGCATTCAGGTTCTTTATAATAACTTTAAATGAGGTCTGTGTTTCTTCGTGCTCTTTATTACAAACACTTGGATTCACTTGAATTCACCATGTGAGGGTGATGGAACAGTTGGTTTTTTGGCCTTGCTTTGAATTTTACTTGTCTACTTCCTTCTGAAGAAGCTTATTTGGCTTGGTGGCAGTGCAGGCTGTCACTTCTTGAGAGGGGTTGGGAGGCTGGAGGTTTAAAAATGTTTAATTTGTATGGTGCCCTTTGCAACAGTGAGACCATTCTGAACTTTGAGGCTGCTAAGACAAAATCTGAGTGAACAGAAGTATCAGAGTTTGAATTGAGGGGTCAAAGCAAAGGGAATGCCAAACTGCTTTTCAGTTGTTAATTCCTTGAAACTCCCCAGGTTGCAGTGATGATGGCAGTAGTCATTTGCTCTGAAGCTCTAATTTGAGTGTTTGTTTCGGCAGCAGTGACAATTTAAATAACACCCACTTCTTATTCCTGCTACACACACCCATTTTATGTATGCAGGATCATGTGGTGAACTGAACAGAGGAATTGATCAGGATTTAAAGAAGAAGAAAGGCAATATATGGATCTTTTCCCAGGTAGTTTTTCATGTTTATTTGATATTTGATAAAACTTCTGGTGCATCACAAATAGTTCTGGCAGCAGAATTGGGTCTTAGTGTTTAAATGAGTGTGGAAGCAGAAAAGAACAGCTTCCTCAGAGGGTGGGGAGGCCCTGGCACAGGGTGCCCAGAGCAGCTGTGGCTGCCCCTGGATCCCTGGAAGTGCCCAAGGCCAGGCTGGACGGGGCTTGGAGCAGCCTGGGATGGTGGAAGGTGTCCCTGCCATGGCAAGGGAGTGGAATGGGATGGGCTTTGAGGTCCCTTCCAACCCAGCCCAGTCTGTGATTCCATGAGGAGTGGAATGTTGCTGCTTCCTGGGTGCTTCCCTGCTGCCTTGGGACCTGGCAGCAAGGAGGTGTTGTCACCCAGGAAAGTTCACCACGCCTGTCTGGGTTTTTTGAGGTGACAGTGGCTGCCTTATGGCCAAGTTTCACTTGCAGAGCCTTTTTTGTCACTGTCACTTGTGTGTGGTTCACTGATGTCCAGAATTACCCTGTGTTTGTGGGCATGCAGCAATACTGGGGCTCTGAATGTGTCCTGGAAAAACTGCTGGGAAATATCTTCACAGCCAGCCAGGAGGATGCTCCTGAGGTGTAACTCATGAGAGAGCTCTGCAACTCAAGAGTAAACCACCACCTTCCACTAAGGGCTGTGTGGACAGTGCTCCAGATGATCAAAAATTGGATTGATTTGGCTTAAACCCCTGTGCTTACACCAGCTGAAGCTGCCAGTGGAGCTGGGAGAGCTGCTGGGATCCCCATCATGTCCCCATCATGTCCCAGCTGTTCTTGTTCCCTCCCTTGTGCTGACCCAACCATGGAACTCACCTGAACAGGGGCTCCTCAGGGACCCCTTTCCATGCCCCAGCTCCTCCTGGGCTCGGAGAGGTGGCAGTTCTGGCACAGAGCTGGAGAATTGTGTGGCAAATAGAGGTTACAGTGGGGTGGTGACATCTCAGGCCATCCTAGAGCAGCTTGAGCCCCCTCACATTGTCAGACTGGATCATGATAGGGGATCATTCAAGAGCTTTTTAAATCCAAATGATAAAACTTTGCAGCAAGCACCCATCTGCATGTACATAGGGCCTTAGTGGGAAACAAAATCACTCTGAATGCTCAGAGGTGCAGGGAAATAACTCATTAACACGTTTTTATTGGTGTAATCATGAAACAGCTCCTCAATGGAAGAACCAACTTTTTGTAGGTAATGTAAATATGGGGAATAACCTCTGGCAGTCACCAGGAGGCACAGCTTGGAACAGACAGCTGGTGTGCAAGGTGAGGGTCCTTCCAGGAGAGATGTGCTGGAACAAACTTCCCAGGCAGCAGAGGACCTGTGGCTGGTGCTTCCCGAGTTGCTCCCGTTGGGGATGTTCTGGATCCCGTGTGAGGCCTTTGAGTGCACCTTGGCACACCTTGAAGCCAAGAGAGCAGGGAACTGAGCAGATCATCCTGGCAGGGCTGGAGCTGGTATGGGCATGGGATCCAGCTGGATCAGCTCCTGCCACAGCACTGCAGCCTGACACCAGCAGGGGCAGGAGGGAAAACACTCCAAAGCTCCCACGTGGAGAGGGACCCAACCTGTGCCTTGGGAAATAGAAATACTTTCAGCTTAGGCTGTGTTTCAGAAGTCTGGGTCTGGGCTGGGGATTCCAATTTGTCTTTTTGAGGGGATTTTGTCTGGTAAGTTGAGGGTGAGCCCAGTTTAGGGGTGCTGAGATGTGCGTGGTTGCCTCTCTTTGGGGTTTTGCTGTGGCCACATGACACAACAGCACTGTCATTCTGGCACCTTTGGCTCCTGATCAAAGGAGCTCCACTGCAGCTGAAGCTTTTTCTCCCTGTGAGATCCTTTCCCAGTTTCTTCAAGAAGCTGCTGCGGGTGACAATTAGTCTTTCTTTTTTTTCAGGAGCCACAAAAGTTTCAGGAGAGGGGAAGGAGGAATCGATTCTGCCTGCTGCAGAAGTTTGATGTTAGTCAAGAAGCACTGCTTTTAAGACATAGTTACTCCAATACATTAGGCTCGGACTTAAAATTAATGTCAGTGTAGTTTTTTTACAAAAAAACATGTCTGTTTTGGCTGATAACATTTTCCTGCTATCTCTTCTCACCAGTTATGTGCTTGGTGATAACTCCAAATATACTTCCTTCGGTCTGTATAATGTGGTAGGATGTGGCCTCACTTTTACACTTGGTCTTTAAAGAAATAATTTAAGGTAAAGGTAAGTAAGTACCTCAAATTCAGTTTAATGTAAATGTAAGTTTGTTTATTCAGTGTTCTAACAGCTAAATTACTCTTTCTGTGGGTAATTCATGCTTTTGGTGTTTGAAATAATATTTAAGTGTCAGCAAATTGCTTTAATTTGAGGTGCAATCTGCTAAAACTCGGCAGCGAATTGGTGTTTTCAGGGGTACAGCTTTCACAGGGCAGCAGTGTGTGCCCAAGTCTGATTGTTAATATCAAAGTGTACAATTTTCAGCATGTCCAAACAGTGCTAGCAATTTCTGCTGAGGAGTCACTGGAAGTAAAACATAATTAGTTCTGTTTTAGTGAACAGAGTGATTTCTAACCCAGCAGCTGGGGAGGAGGGATCCTGCATCCAAGGGATTCAGGGACACGCTCAGCTGGGCGTGTTTTCAAACTTTGTGCTGTGGAGATGACTGTGCAGAGGTGGAAGTCTTGTCTCAGAGTGACAGCCAGCGCTTCTGTGGAGCTGCTTTCTCACATAGTTTCCATGCAGGATCAGCTTGCCGAGTATCACAGTTATAGTACAGGTCTGGATGGTTTGATTTTTTTTTTTTAAGGAGTGTAGAGCTGTGGAAGGTAGAGGAACATGGTGTTTTCTAAGGGTGGTGATGCACAGTCATAAATTGTCTTTGGTGAGCAAACAGCACAGCTATGAATGTCTGTAACTCAAGGCATCACTTTCTGAGCAGGTCAGTACATAACACTTCTTGTGCTCTGTAAATTAACTGCAGCAGGAAAGGACAGGGAATGTCTGTATATAACTTGTCATCCTGAAAGTTCCAGGAAAAAAACCCCAATAATTTAATACTTGGAGAATTCACACTTTATTCTTGAATAGAATTGAGCACGGTGAGGTGGAGGAGAAGTTACAAGAGGTGATGTTTCAGGTTTCTTTGTGAAAGTGGGTGCCTGCAGCTCATGGGCTGAGCACACTGCTCACGAGCCTGGCTGCATCCTGGAAACCTCAGTGTCTGTTGTCTTGTGAGGAAGAGTTTTCTGTCAAAATAGGAGCTTTTGTGTTTTGACTTTATATTCTCTTTGCTAGACTTTTCAAGACAGGCTGCCAAGGGGCTTAAGCCTCACTGGGGCTTTCTGAAGTAGAAATGGAGAAGTTTTTTGCCGCTAGATTAGAAATAACCAGACCAGGCTGGAGCTTCATGAATGTTCTGCCCCATCCCTGGAAGTGTTCAAGGCCAGGTTGGACCAACCTGGGATAGTGGAAGGTGTTCCTGCCTGTGTCAGGGGCATGGAATGAGGTGGGCTTTAAGGTTATTTTCAATCCAAACCAGTCTGAGATTCCACAATTCTGTGTTTAAATATTAACAAAATGCAGATGGGTACTGGGTTCCTTGGTCCTGCCATGACCACACTGAGCAGTTGCCTCTGGAGTGGCTTTTACAAACCCTGAACTGAGAAGGCTCCATGCTCATCTTCCTCCAGGGAAGACTTTTTTTTTTTTCCCAGACAAAGGTAGAGAAGGCATTTTGTTTCCAAGGAGCTGCTAAGGATTGTGCCACTGGCTGGAATGGCCAAACATTCTCCAGGGATTACTGGGGGGGCTTTGCTTTCCTGACAGGTGACATTGTCCTGAGGTGACACAGCCTTCAGAGAATAGAGGTATTTGGAAATGGGTGACTGGCAGCAGCGTTTAATCTAGAATTTGGAGAGCAGTAATTCTAGGAGATGTGTAAATTGATTTCGTTTTTTTCCATGTCCATAAAACTTGTTTATGGTATGTGCTGACAAGAATTCACTGTTGCTAACAGTTGTTGAAAGGATACAGTGACTTCCCCATAAACTTTCCCAGTTCCTAACACTATTTTTCTCAGGTTTTGTGAACAAGCACACCATGCCTAAATTCTCTTGAGCAGTCACATGAGCATGTTGCACTTCAGTGTGATGAATTAATACATTCCAGAAAGAATTCAACATTGTATTCGCCTCAGCCTCGTCTATCATTTAAGGAATCAGCTGTGAAACTTCCCTAGAAATTTGAGAAAAGTTAGCCTGCTGCATTTAAAGTACACCAGTATGGTGATAAATGGTTTTACTCTTTTAAAAAAGTGAAAATTGTGTATTGTGGGAACATTAGCAAGGCCTTTCTGAATTGCATTCAGATAGAAACTGCTGTGTCTTAACATCTCTGGGTAGATACTTTAAGGGATGAGTAAAATAATATTTAAGAACTTCACAAATGTCTGGACCCCTTCTCATCAAGTCCTTAAATTCACATTGCATGATTTTAAATGCTCACCAGTTCTGTTGAGTGGATGAAGATGGAGCAGGTGGTCACAGGATGGTTCTGTCCAAGCGATGCCTTAGGGCTCCTGTGGTACCTCACTGTGCTCTTACCTTAACCCAGAGAGGTACCAGCAGTGAGTTCAGGTGAGTTCTTCAGCAGAAAGCACCAAGATAATGATGAATCAGAAGCGGTACATTTTAAGGCTGGATTTTCTATATATTCTGTATTATTCTGCCTCAATAATCATCCAACTGCATTTCTGTCTCATTGAAGTAGGACCAGTTGTCCCCGTGACTTTGCTTGCAGAGCAACCTCATTTTTATGGCTCTCTAAATTTTGAAGCAATAATTTTGGACTTCAGTTCATGGCTTATAAAAGATATAACTACCAGTATTTGACTGGGTGAAGTTTCTGTGCAGGGGGAAGAGGAGGAGAAATGGTTATCCTATAGACAAGGAACATATATCATAGTTGGGTGTGCTTAGCTCCAGTGCAGGGATTGAGGGGTTGTGAGGGTGAGTCTGAGGTGGCTGAAATGGTGACAGGGAACAACTGTAGAGCCTGAGTGGGGAGAGAAACTTTGGGCTTTTCTTTTGGGATTTTTGGGATCACACAGAGCACTGTGCTGGGACAGTAAGGTTGGAAGTGTTGAATTTTTAGGTCCTTTACAGTACAAGCTGTTTCGTAGAGTTATCTGTATGGATCTTTTTGAGAGGACAATTCTGATTTGCTGCTTTGAGTAGATGGGAATGGGTGTTTCAATGTGTTTGTGCTCCTTCTGCTTCAGTGTCTGTTCCCTAGGTGTAGGGACATGGCTGGAAGGGACTTCATGTGATCCATCACCTTCATGAAACAGCTCCTCTGGGCTTGTCTAATCTGTTCTTAAACCTCCACAGTGGCTCTGAAGACCATGGAGAGGTTATTTGAGTGCCCTGGTAGCTCACTGGTTATTTCTATATGGAATCAGTGTTTGTCTTGTTGCACATTAGGCCCATGAGTGTCGCTCTAGATTAGGAAAGGCTAAGAACGACACAGACTCTCTTGTGAGTTGAACAGGAGAGTGTAAAGTTTGTTACCTCAGATCTTCTTTTATAGACCAATACACAAAAGTGCAGAAAGGTAAAACTCTTATTGGTCACTGAACTAACACATCACCATCATTGGTCAGTGGGGTACACCACCCTCCGACCTTCTCTTGCAAGAAGACAAGAATCTGACAAACAGCACCTGCAAGGCTGTCTTCTTCTATCTCTGAGGATTGTTTTAATTCCTCCTTATGAATTCCCAGGCTGCTTTCTCAGGTGAGACTGAGAAAGTTGCATGGCCTGCTTTTCCACAGGCACTGTGCTCCCTGCTTTTTGCTCATATTTAGCATCCATACGTGAGCATTGAAACAGTTGATTAACATTTTCTTTATTATGACTAATAACACATAGGAAGGTTTATTTCAAGCTTTATGTGTCTCTTTCCTATTTCTTCAATACTGTGGGAAATGAAAACTTCAACTTTATGTTATTAACCATGTTTTCAAAACCTCTTATCACTGCTATCCACTGACCTCCTCTTTGTGTATGTTCTTCTTGCTCTGTTGCACCTTGAGATGAAGATGTAATTCCAGCTGAATTTGGTTCCTCTGCCATTCCTTACAGTTTGGGATTCAGTGGAAAGCAACACTAAATGATCTTGCTTGCAGTGTGCTGTGGTAGATGCCACCAAGAGTGGCAGTGGCTGCCTGGGGTTGTGCTCATGAATTTTTATTTATCCAGCTTCACAGTCTGGTGGGGTGGGTTTGTTGTGGAAAAAGAAGTCAGGGGGTCATATTGCAGTGAGTCTTCTCTGAACGTCTGCAGCTCAGGGTTGACACTACAGACACGATTCTTTATGGTGTTATACAAAATGTTTAGTAACTGTTGAAGTTGACAGACAGGTATTTCTCTCTGTAGTAACAAAAATGTCTTCCAGTTATTGGCTAATAAACGTGAATGGAGAAAAGTGTTCCACTGTTGCTGTTTTCTGTTTGCCTTTAAGAGCTTTTCCTGTAGCGCAGGGAAGTGGGGGTGTGTCTTGTCTTCATAGGTTGTGTTTTACTGCCTCTTGTACCATCCTCCTCCAGTGGATGTTCCTTTTGGATGGTTTCCCCTGCCTTGGCCCAGCCTGGAGTCTGTTCCTGCTGTGCCAGGGGTCTTGGGTGCCTCTCTGGGAATGGGCCATGCAGAGAAGAGCTGGAGCGTTCATGGCACTCTCAGCTGCTGTGGATTTGTGTCTGGGGACCCTTTGTGAGTGCCAGGGCAAACTGTGCTTTGTGCTGGCAAGCTCCTCTCGTTCTCTTGGCTGCTGTGGTGTCTGCCCAGCTCAGGGATGTGCGTGGTCACTGCCAGGAGGGAGCAGGGGAAATATTTCAGGTCCGCCGGTTTCTTCGCACTGCGGAATTTTATTGCAATCTGACCTTACTGTGGTTTGATGAACCTGGCTTTGTAAAATATATACAGGAAGGTATGTGGATGATGTTACTTTGCCATAAAATAAAGCCTAAGTACAAATAAAATATATGCAGATTGGTTTGACTCTTTAAAGCAGAGCTGTGAGTTTTAAGTGCAGATAATGCTTCCTGTGCCTGGTCACTCTTTGGACTGTTCTTGGTACTCAAGGAGCATTTCTTATACTCCTTGTTTTGCACCACAAATTTCTGATCAGTTTTCAAAGCATGATCTCCATAGAAATTTCTCTGTCTT